GGTTAACAGATTTTAAGTCAAATTAGCTGATTACGAAATTTTACCAAAAAAGTATCAGTCTTTATATTGATTTACCTACTCCTGTTTTTCTTGATATCATACGGGTGTGATACCACTTTATTCTTCCTTCCTTTCCGACTGCCTTTAGAGGTACCATCTGTTGCTTAAAATGTTGACCAATTTCTCTGCAAGATGCCCCAACTGCAAACTTACACGCATTTTATACCTGAATTGGATTAATTCGCCAGCCGCCCAAACATGCTTGATATGCACCCAAGAGTGAACAACTCACAGGGAATGAAGGAGACAATTTGAAGCACTGAACTTATTTTTGCCGCCATTCTTGCCCTGTTAAACCCTCGGTAAGCCGGGTTTTTTTTTATTCATGGTGGTGCTCGATAATGATAAATCGAAGCCTTTCGAGTGTCTAACTCACAAGACTACCTGACAAGGCCATCCTTATGCTGTCATCCAGCTTTGGGACAGACCTGACGCAGCTAACACAAAAGTGTCTGATGGCGAAATTCTGCCGTATGGAAATGTTTCTCATGCACACCTCTTACTTTTTCGCATTTTAATCTCGTAGGCTGGTGGACATGATTTATATCTATATTTGGGCAGTGAGTGGGATGACTCTGTCTGTCAGCAAACCATGCAAAAGGTACTGACTTTTTGTTTTGGGGGAGCGGGAGGAAGTGTGCCCTGAAAAAGCCATTAGGTATCATGTGAACCAAGTAATTGTTTACCTTATCTGCGTGTAACACATGATTTGTAGTTTGTAACCAGGGTTAGAATTTTTTGTCTTAATCCATTGAGTTTTGTCATAGGACAAATTATTATGTCACAAGGCACGCAATGGGTTTATTTTCCATATTCTTGATTATTCGCCCCAAATTTCCTAAAGTGGTCCCTCATCGATGTTTTCCATAGTTGTCATGGTTTGCTGACTGGCAAATGACTGTACTGTATATATGCACTATATTTTTAACACATGGATACCATAAGCTGCATAGCAATTATAATATGAGGTAAATATCAGTATTTAGCAAATAGTCAGAACACCCCATTTAAAATGTAAGGCCAACATTTCAAACTTTGTCATTAAATATGAATAAGCAAGCCTAAATAGATGTCTTTGCTGCAACTGAAAAGGCAAGCAGCAAAACTGGCATGGTCATTTAAAAGTTATGTTACTTTTGGGGGAGAGAGATCGTTCTGTGGACCATACCCATTATTGCCCTTGACATAGGTTACCCATGGCAATTAAAATAAGTTGTTCAAAGTGATTTGAAGTGTATGATTTGTGTGTTGTCATCTTTGATGTCAACAAACATACACAAATGAACTGAATAAAAATGCAAGTTGAAACCAGACGAAAATGAGCTTTTTCATGTTTTTATCACGGGCGCTGCTGTCAACAGATAGATGAGTTGAGATGATGTTCAACATATGGGCTACTCTAAGTTAGGTTAAGTTGGTTAAGTGCATGGCAAGTGGCAATAGGAATTGCGCAAGAATTAGTAACTCACAACCGCTGCTGTGATACAAACAGGTTAGACAGGATGAGATGAAGTAAGGCCTCTAGGTTAGGCATAGTTGGGCTACTTCCATGGAAAAGGTATTGGTATCTTGTAAGAAACAGTGACAAAATGTTTGTTTTCCCTGACCTCATCTTAACAGAAGCCAGAGATATGTCTATTGTGTTTGACTTGGTGATGGGCTGATGTGTAGGAGTCCAAGGTTGCTTTTTTTGTTTGAGTGCTATATGCTTGTTGAATTTTCTGTTGTTATTTTGTTGTTTAATTCCTTTGCTTTGTTTTATGTAAAACATGCTGTGCAAGGGAAGTGCAAAGAGCAGCATCAAATTATTGGTGTTATATAATTTTTGTACGCTCATTACACTGTCATGAAATTACTATGCTTTACTGTATTCTGTTTCACTTGAATTGCCTATGATGTGAAAAAACAGAACAGTTTTGTCAGGCTTCTGATATCACGTCCATGCCAACTTAAAATAGATGTCTTTGTTTGCTAAAGCACCAGTCCCTAGCTCATAAGTTCCATCTTTTGTGAATTGAATTTTTCACTCCCGCACGGTCTTTTTGCGATGGAATTTTTCACTCCCACCCTAGTTCAAAAGCGATTCTAGCTCACTGCTCTAAATCGGATGACCCATACGATCTGAGCGAGTTATGGGGGTCATGACGAGCGTTCATTTAGAGTGTCCATACTGCGTGGCATCGTGGCTATTCGCAGATTATGGGCCAGTGCTTCTTCCAACAGCATGACACCACGGACGGTATGGAAATGGCGATGGATGACTAACATGATCGCGCGCATGGCTACAAATCAACAGATGTGTCTGATTATCGTGAGCCTAGTAAATCCTTCTATTTACCGAAACCGTTACTCTCAAGTTGTCACACAGGCATTCGTCTTCGTAAAAACTGACCCGATGCAACATAAAATGCACGTAAAATACACGCATTTTTCCGAGGAGATATTTCCATAATCCACACCGACCATACACACGGATATTCGACCCCATAGAGATGGTCTTCGCTGGCCCCTAGCCACACCTGCACTGAAGCTGTGGGCACACACATCAATATTTCAATTGGTGTCACAATCGTCGCAATATATATTCATTTATTAAGTTGTATTTTTATCTATGCGTCAGCAAAACATATAGCTGTACGGCTTCTGCGGACTTAAGAAGGCCGAATTGATTGGGGTACTGTTGAGGTAGACGCCAGTTTGATTGAAATGTCCACAAATTTGTACTCATTTAAAAGTATCAAACTGAAATGAGCTTCACATCTTATTGTAACAACACACCATGTAGTCATTTGCAAATGCATACTAATACAGCACACAAGAACCGAAGAGCTGTTACTAGTACTGGAACCCAATTTTGTTTACTCGTTACGATAGTACACGCATAATGTCAGGTTGCCGGGCATCTGTGCAGACGGATGGTGGTGACTTTTTCAGCAGGTTCACGGTGGCATTTCTGTTCGCGACAAGTTATTGTAAATGCACACTGCTAACCCCACATTTCAACATAACAGATACGGCTTTGCCTACGTCTACTGCCCGTTTTCGACGCCTGAGCGCGCCACTGAGCCGCCACACGACTGCAGCTCTCGGCCAAGGTCCCCTGACGGCGCGACTGCAACCGAGTCAGTGCAGTGTGTCGGCCTGACCCAGTCTGAGTCGGTGCAGTGCGCTAAATGGGGCGAATTTGGCGGTCCGTTACGTTCCGCCGGTCGCATCGGAACCCCGAGCGCGTCAGCTGGCTGGACCGAACAACAGGTGGCCGGGGGCGGTGGCCGGGGGGAGGGGTGGCCGCGGTGGCGGCGCCGCTGCCTCCACGTGAGCTCAAGCAGCGGCGCGTCTGCTCATTCGTATCTCGTGTTAGAGCTCGCCCGACACGCTTAAAACGCGCCACGGCCGGAATTTCTGCGAAAACTGCCATATTCGACCATCCTGCACTATCTTGTGTGACGTCACACGAAATTAGGGGCTCGGGAGCGGGCGGCGGCGGGCGGCCGGCGGGCGGCGGCGGCTGAGCGCAGTGCACCGGTCGGCGCGACTCGCGTGGAGCCGGTCCCACGGCGGAGGCAGAACGGCGGTGGAAGCGGCGCCCCTCGTGCTCACCTGACGTCAGACCGGCCGGCCGCGCGCGGACGGCGGCGCCGCAGACGGCGAGTGCAGTGCTGGCGGGGCCGGTGGGGTGCTGTGTTGCGCTGCAGAGACGCGCCGGGAGCGTGCCCGTGCCGAGCGACACGCCGCCGCGGCGAACGGGGCGGCCGCGGCCGCCGGCGCGCCATGGAGCCGCAGTACTACAAGGAGCGGATGGGGTTCGCGCCGCCGGAGAGCCGCGAACGCCACGCCAACGGCGGCCAGGCGCTGTCGCACTACGAGACCAATGTCGGCTATGAGGAGAACCTGAGCAAGTTCAAAGGTACGCCGCCGGGCGGCGGGTCGGCCATCGCCCTGCACGCCGCGGTCGTCAGACGGCCGGGCGGTGCCCTGACCGTGACCTCTGCCAACGCTGCATGCGCGGCATCCTTCACGGTCCAGTTGGCGGGCTGGACAGCTGTGTACCTGCGCCGCTGACCGACCGGCGGGCCCGGCACGTCAGCCTGCACAGCTGAGGGGCGGCCTGGCGGGCGCGGGGGCCGAGCTCGGTACCGCCACCACGCCAAGCTCGGAACCGCCCGCCACGCCAAGCCTTGGGCTGGCCGTGGACCCGCTTTTCTCTCTCTCTCTCTTTTTCTTTTTGGTGACCGGACTGTGGTTTTGACGTATCTTTGAATGGTGGCATTTGACTCATTTCATCGTTCGATGCTTGCTACATGTTTGAATGAAATTACCTCGGTGTTAATCGATGGGCAGCACGTTAATACTCTGATATCTGTTGCACGCTTGAATTGAAGTTTGTGTCTCCTTTATCGGTAGTCCTTGTTACCATACGGGACACTGCTTCGCCCCAGTGAGGCTCGCACTGGCTTGCTCAGTCCTCATTCAGGGGCGCTGCGAACTTGACAGGGGTGACAGCTTGGCGACACGCAATATGCGAGGATCATTCCATTCCTGGGCGCTGAGGCCACTCGCCCAGCTAAGCCCGCCTGTGGGCGCACGATATCAGCACGTGAAGCCGCTGACGAGCTTTGGGGTATCAGTGACGGCCCAATAAGGTCGCCCTGCCATGTCCCGTGCCTGCTGGCTTTACACGGTCGCATCCGTATTCGGACCGCGTTCGAGCGGGCCAGCTGGTGCGAACTGAGGCGCTCGGCCATTTGGCAATCAGCGGGCCTGTGGCCTCTGAATTGGTTCAGGGTCGTCACTGGCCGCTGCACGTGTGGCAGTCTCCCGGACACTTACAGTGCAGCGGCTCGCCGCATTAAAAGAGCTTAGGAAAGTCAGGAAAGTCGGGGTGTTGTGGGGCGGGCAAAGCTCGTATTCAGATGCATGCTTTCCGTGTGCGGTGATAGCTACGTGGATGTCAACTTCCACGAACGTGGGTGGTCGGTGCCCCTGGCCTCCTTGTTCTTGGCCTCTTTAACCTCCCTGCTCGTGCCTTTCGGTGTGCTGTGTTGCTTTACAGCAGCCATGTTTAACGCAGCCCATAGGTGGAAGCTGTTCATTTAGCCCATAGGTGGAACCTGCTCATGTGGCACCGCGCCGCTATGCACACCCCAGCATGGGAACGTGATGGAACACAAATTACTTCTTGAGTGTTGTTCTGACAACTAGCACAAGGAGCGTCGAATCCCTTGGAGCGATGGTAGCGCACTTCTGCCATCCACGGCTCACCAGCCTTCCTGGCATCATCCACCCGTGCGTGGAGAATTCGTCACAGCCGGCGGGGAGCAGCCGCACCAACTTAAATCAAATTAGCTCTGTCCATTTTCTTTTTCGCCGCGCGCTGCTCGTTTCGTCAGGTTTGCCACACCAGCGTTTCCCAACGCTCTCCACCCTTGCCCTGAGACGACCCAGCCGGTCCTCCACCCAGCTGCTGCATCCCACGTGTTGCGCTGGGTGCGTGTGGTGGCCTGCAGCGGCCGCGCCGCCGGCGTCCGCGGCCTGACCCCGGTCGTCACGTCTGGGCAAGGCGGCGGTCGGCGGTCCACCACGCCCCTCTCTCCAGATGCCACCCGACCGAGGCTGACCGCCGCGCCGCTGTCGCAACAGCGCCGCCCGAGCCGGCCCGGATTGGCTGGGAGAGCGGTGACCGCGGCCAGCTCTGGTTGCCATCAGCCATGAGATCAGACTGGCGACCACTTGCGCGCGTCTGCTGAGGCCTCGTGCCTCCCCCTGCGCCTGCTGGGAGGGATTGGTCGTGTTTGGGATGCTCTCCCACGAAACATCACCTGCCAGACGACGGCTCCGACCATATGCAACCCTTGCGGAACCGATGACGTCACTAAGCGAACCGGTCGACCGATGGGATTGCACCCGCCCCGTGCGGCGACTGAAAGGAAAAGTGGCGCTCGGCTGGCAGAACTGGTCTGCCGGTCTGCCATGGTGACGGAGGCCGTCTGAGGAATTCGAGGTCATGCCACCCTCCTCCGGTCGGTCGGCCAGCTGCTCAGGGAGGGGAGGAGATCTCACCGCCCTGGAGTCAGCCGACCAGCTGCTCAGGGAGGGGAGGAGATCTCACCGCCCTGGGGTCAGCCGGCCAGCTGCTCCGAGGGACATCTCACCGCCCTGGAGTCAGCCGGCCAGCTCAGAGGGGAGATCTCACCACCCTGCAGTCAGTCATCCAGCTGCTGAGGGGGGGGGGGGAGATCTCACCACCCTGCAGTCGGTCTGCCAGCTGCTAAAGGTGGCAATGTCACGCCACTCTTCGGTCGGTCCAGCTGGCAAAGGGTGCGAGACCACACCACCCTAAATCTGTGTGAGGGGCGGGGAGCCTCGCTGACCGGCTGGGCTGTGGCCGGACCGCGGTCGGCGAACTGGGGAGGGCACCCTCCGCAGCGTGGACAGCGAGGTCAGGCATGTCATCGGTGGCAGGTGATTCATGTGACATTTCCAACAACGTCCGGGACCAGCCCGGCGGCAGCCAGACTTGCAGAGAGAAGGGAACATACGAGGGAAGTGTAAAGTGGAAACTTGTCTAGATAGGATTGATGAAAGGAGAAACGGGGAAGGAATTAGTGAGTTGCATGCAAGGCCCCATATATTGGCCATCCTCGGATTGCTTCCGTCTTCTGCCGAGTCTAAATGTGGAAATGTGGTAGCTTTTCCCTGTTGTGAAGAGAGGTCGTCTCTCAGGATAGCAAAGCCTCGTACCTGTTTCACTGTCTGGCCCGACGCTGTCTTGCGGTTCGTCACAGATCTCCTCGAAAAACGATCACATGAACTTCGGAAACCTATTTGGTGCTCAGTGAGCAGTGGGTGTTGCATTTTGACGCTATTTGCCCCAGGCCCGAGAACCGGACCTCCCCCCCCCCCCCGCCCCAGATCCCCACCCATAGTCGCACTGGCTATTCAGCCAGGCTCCAGGAGCTTTGTCTTCCCGCGAGCAACCACCGGTGTCTCACCTGCTTTGCCTCGTCTATGAGTCACCGAAATCACCGCCCGCCTGTCTGTCAGTAGAGGCTTGGCCCTCTGTTCCTGAGGTGGCGGCGCATTCACCAAATGCCCGGTGCGTCATTGCGGAGGCACACAGCAGAACTGAGCACGCTCTGGTGGAGCGTGCTCCGAGTTCGTGCAAGCCCTCCGACCGCGGAGAGAACGAACAGGGATCTCATGTCCTTTGAGATCCGCCGCATCACCGGCCACTGGGACGGCGTTTCGGATCCCGTTGTTCCTGTGCTTTCAGCGCTGATTGCGCTGCGACCTCTGCTGGTTGGTCGACCGGGTGACGCAACGTTGAGAACGCTGTCTTGGCGCACCGTATGTCTGACCCAAATGTGCTGCCTTTCAGATGAGAGGGACGCCATTCAGAAGAAGACATTCACCAAGTGGGTTAACAAGCACTTGAAAAAGGTACGTTCTTTTGGAATCGTCCGCCTCGTAGCCGTTGGAAACGTACTTTGCTGCCGCTTTTTTGCACCTCTGTTGCAACATGCCAGCGTCGGGAGTGCGAACCTGCACCTTTCCGTCTGCAGAACGTTCTCTGCATGCGCCGGTTTCGAAAGCATCCCGAGCTATCATAATTGGTCAGCCTTTGTCAGTCCCGTGTACGTGACCGCAACAGATTTTATCCGTATTTTGTGTGTGTCTGCCACGTAGACAATATGCGTCCCCAATGGGCGTGCGTGTTGAATTCCGAAGCCGATACCGCTCGCGCAGGTTTAACGTTCCACCCAGGTACCGAGCGCTATGTACCGCTTAGCAAGTGACGCCTAGGTGCCAGTTAAGAGTGACTTATGCTTCATGTTGCGCCAAACATAGCGTTCAAATGAGACTCCAAATCCTACATATTATTTTTATGCTGCATGCGATTCAATGCAGTGGAATGGGGGGGAGGGGGTGCCGGCAGTGTAGTGGTTGAGGCGTCTGCGTCTCGCGTCTGTCTGGTCATAGTTAACGCGTCTGCGTTAACCACTGCGCGTCTGGAAAACCAGAGGTAGGGGGTGCGATTCCCCGCGGCGCCCGCTCTTCCTGCCAGGGTGGAAGGCAAGCGACGCCTTATAGCCTCAGAAGCTGGGTGCGTCGTAAAGCCCCAATGACACACACACACACTGTGCCGCGGAACTACTACTTACATGCAGCCTTCTTGATTACTGGAAGTGAATGATGTTTTGCGTATTGTACATACTCGCGCTGAACTACATTTTTCATATTTTGACTTCTTTATTAATAGTGGAACAGCCGTTTAACCTTTTAATGTCTAACCATCTGGTATTAGGATGGGCGCCATAGCGAGGGATTTCGGTTTGGTGGGTTCATTGATAAGAGTAAGATCATTGTCAATGACTAATTATTGTGGGTTTTTAAGCGTCCCTTACTAAAGAGGAACCAGCAAAGCCAGATCGGGATCTTCGGCAGCGATATGTACCATTTTGAATATTCTGATCATGTATGTTTGTGTAAGCCTATGACATTATGTTTTAGTTCGGTGTAGGCGCTCACCATGGGGTTTTGGATGCAAGGTGGTTTTTAAGGATAAATTCGGCTCCTGTACTCAAAACGGTAAGACAATAATGCTTTCCCAATAGGCTTTATTATCCAAATGGCTTTATGCGTCGTGAGTAGAAAAAAATATTATTTCATGGTGGCCGCCGCTGAAAATTCACGCACGTGACCTTCCCGAGCAAAACGACCCGGAGAGACGCACCAAAATACAATTTGCAAGTCATAGCGGGACTGTGCACGCAAGGTTGCCATCAGTCTCGCCTGCGGCCCAAAATCGTCAATCTAAACCCATCACACGCGGTATCGCGTGTGCCTAGTCGTGATCACGACGCTGAGCAACAACACACTGTTCTGTGCCGGTCACCGTTGATCACGACACTCGGCAACAACACACTATTCTGTGCCGGTCACCGGTGATCACGACACTCAGCAACAACACACTGTTCTGTGCCGGTCACCGGTGATCACGACGCTCAGCAACGACACACTGTTCTGTGCCGGTCACCGGTGATCACGACACTCAGCAACAACACACTGTTCTGTGCCGGTCACCGGTGATCACGACACTCAGCAACAACACACTGTTCTGTGCCGGTCACCGGTGATCACGACACTCAGCAACAACACACTGTTCTGTGCCGGTCACCGGTGATCACGACACTCAGCAACAACACACTGTTCTGTGCCGGTCACCGGTGATCACGACACTCAGTAACAACACACTGTTCTGTGCCGGTCACCGGTGATCACGACACTCAGCAACAACACACTGTTCTATGCCGGTCACCGGTGATCACGACACTCAGCAACAACACACTGTTCTGTGCCGGTCACCGGTGATCACGACACTCAGCAACAACACACTGTTCTGTGCCGGTCACCGGTGATCACGACACTCAGCAACAACACACTGTTCTGTGCCGGTCACCGGTGATCACGACACTCAGCAACAACACACTGTTCTGTGCCGGTCACTGGTGTTCACGACACTCAGCAACAACACACTGTTCTGTGCCGGTCACCGGTGATCACGACACTCAGCAACAACACACTGTTCTGTGCCGGTCACCGGTGATCACGACACTCAGCAACAACACACTGTTCTGTGCCGGTCACCGGTGATCACGACACTCAGCAACAACACACTGTTCTGTGCCGGTCACCGGTGATCACGACACTCAGCAACAACACACTGTTCTGTGCCGGTCACTGGTGATCACGACACTCAGCAACAACACACTGTTCTGTGCCGGTCACTGGTGTTCACCTGAACACATTGCGAGGGGATGTCACGCCGTTGGCCGCGCACTGCTTGGATATCCCGTGCATATCGCCGACGTCCGCTTATGGTAATCCAAAGTCATGAAATATGATGGGAAGTGATATGTTGGATGATGTTTGTCATGCACCGTTTTCCTTTGTAAAGGTGTTGTGCCAGTCAGCTGTGCCAGTGGTGCCAGTTGTGTTGTGTAAAGGTGTTGCGCCTTCGAAAATACCACGATTCGTCCTGAAATGCCCTCTAGAGATGAGGCCCGGAGTCTCTCCGGTGCAGTATGGCATGCCAAAATGGCGCGGGGTATGTCAGGATCTGCAATATTGAAAGTTCGAAAAATCCTGCAGGTTGTACAAGTCTGGAACTGAAAGATTTTGTAATTTTATTCAAAACAGTATAGAGGTGTAACTGCCAAGCCAAATCATCATTACAGTTCTGACGGTGCAGTGGTTGCAAGCTGGGCGGGCGTCTCCGAGAGCCGCAGAACCCGTGGTTTCTGGGCACATCGCCACTCTTGGGCTCAATTGCCCCGAACGCGTCGTGTTTTCTGGACAAGTGGATGCAAGTGGACATTGCGCGGCCTTGACGGGGCCTTGCTCTGCACATTCCAAATGGCTGCCAGCGTCTCAGCAGACGAACTATTTGGCGAACGGGATGGAGCAAAATTATCCCGTATTTCGTTGCTTTTGGATGGCAGGGAAGAAGAACCATTTGCCCTCGCAACAAACAAATAGCAACGAAGACTGATTTCAACATTAGCATCATAACTTTCGCAGCAAACCAATGGCAGCGAAGACTGATTTCAACATTATCATTTCCTTGAAGTGACGTCATCATTGTACAAGCGGTTGGCCGTTCGTTCCTCACGCGGTTTATGTTAATAACTCTTCTGCGCCGCATGTCTAACCTATTGTTGGCTCCGCTAGCCTACGTCCGCATTGCCCAATCTGCAGGCCTTGCAAGGCTGTGTTGATAGCAGCCAATGAGAGCGCGCCTCAGGCGATCGTGGGCGGGGCCTATCTTTTAAATCGCCCACTTTATGGACAGCCGTGTCAATTTTCTCGTTGGAACGCCCGGCTATTTATAAGGGCATGGCGCGGGAGGCGGCGAACGGGTGACGTCATTGATGTGGCGTCACTGACGTAAAGGCGCTGAGAGACCGGACTGGCTTGCCTGTGGACTCTGGGCCCTTCATGTCTGGTGGAAAGGGAACCAATATTTATCCAGTCCTTTGCACATGTTTACAATAATGTGTGACGTGTTTTCTGCTGATAAATGGAAAATGTACTTTCATAACATGCACGCTGCTGGGTTTGTTAAAACCTCGAGCGTGCCTTAGGTACACCATGGGCGGTGTTGGCCCCTGCCGTGGTCAAGATTTCCATCGAGTGAGGTCGGTCGTGTACCCAGACAGGGTTTAGGTGGAAGGGCGGGGGGGGGGGGGGAAGGGCTCGTCCGTTCGCAAATCAGAAGATGGCCCTCGTGCGGTTTTGGTCCACCATCGCCCCAGCTGGCTGTAAAGCATTACCTTCAATGCCCTGACTGAGGACTCTGGGCGTTGATGGGGTTAACTGGTCAGTTTGGTGGCATCGCATGTTGATCACCAACATCGCAGAATCGCAGCAATGACAACAATATCTCAGGTACCGTTGGGCCCGGTATTTCCAATTTGCCGCGTGGGAAGCGCCGCGCCGACTACGGGCCCGGAATCCCTGCCGCTGCGGCGGCTGGCATAGAGGTGCGGGATTTCATGAACGCCGAGTAACGGCACCCCTGTCCCCAGCTTAGCCAGCTTACCTGGATGGACGCTGCCCTTTTCACGGCGAGGTGTGGCTGGCCCCGACACTGGTGCCGGCTTTCAGTATGCTGAACATAGGAGAGCTGCTCCCGTTGCCGATACGGTGCTAGCTGAGGCGCCGTAGGAAGCACCCACTCAGGCGCCACCCAGGAAGCGCTCCAGCGCCTCCTCCAGCGATGCCGTTCACGCATGTCCTGATGCCATGTTACCGAAATGTATTTCCGGTCTGGGGCCGTATACCTGGCCGTCTCCACGACGACGGAGGCGATTACACGGCGTCGCAGTGTCGTACCTAAAACCCGGTTTCTCATCGTCATTTGACCCGGCGGGGAATTGTTGCCCCGTCACGCAACACGGCACGGGGTTGCATTTTGCCACGGAGCCCATATAGAAGAAACCTTTTGGGCTAAGATCCCCAAACTATGTATCATTTGTAATAAGTGTTGAATTTCGGTGTATCAGGCGACTGAGAAGTGTTTGGCTGCGCACCTGAAGGTTGATAGCCTATTCGCTGCGAACCCCATAGCGCCAGGCTGGAGGGGTCTGTAATGTTTATGCGTTGTGCACTTAAGCTGCATGGGCTGGACGTCTCGCGGGCCCATCGCTGAAAGTCTCAGGGATATGGTTGTATATCTACGAGGGGAGAAGGCAGGAATCTGGCCGCGTTAAAGGCACTGGGCCCGAGAAACCAGGGGTATGGGGTTCGATTCCCGACGATGTCCGCCCTTGCTGCCAGACTGGGAGCCAGGTGATGCCATTTAGCCCTAATAGCTGAATGGGTTATAAAGCCTCAAGGACATATGAAAGGGACTGGTACTACCAACAAAGCTCTGTCCT